AATATTCAGCTGAATTCTGATCAGAAGTAAAAAATTTTCATCAAAAAAAGGTTTGAACTAATCAGAGTTCAAACCGTCAAATCCCTTTACGTAAATCACATGCAACAAAAAAACTTTGTAAAAATTAAAAATAAATATATTATTTATGAGCCCCTAAACTCTTATGGGCCCTGGTGCGGTGCACCAACTGCACCCCCCTCTCATAGGGCTCGATTTACATATATAGTAAAATGGTTAGGGTTGAAAAAAGACATCCATTCTTATCACCCAGTCTCGTTTACATAGTCCTTGTCAAATAATTACAAAAAAGATAAAAAAACAATAATATTAAATAAATATATTACAAATGTTAAAAACAATAATATATAAATAAATAATAATATAAGATTTTTATTGTATCATAAAATAAATAAAATCAATATAAAAATAAGTGGGTGGTGATGAGTATTTCTAGTTTATTGGTTTTCTGGACTTAAAAAAAATATGTAAAATCAAATACTCTTTCTAATCAAAACCGTTTAAATTTAAGTTCTAATAAGTATTAAAAAAATTGCAAGTTTTGTTTTGCAAAAAAAAAAAGCAAATAAACAGAGTTTATTATTTGGATAATTGAAAGACTTCGCCAAGACTAAGTATTTTAACTTAGAGCTACTATGTTGCTTTCTGATATCTTTTGATATTTATGTATGTTATGATGAAAACGCGTTGCATTAATTTTAAGCATGCGTATGTTGTTATTATGATGCAAACGACTACTGTGCATTAAACTAATAAAGCTGAAGAACTATTCTTTAACTTTTTTTAAAAAAAAAAAACTTTTTAACAATAGCACTTTTTATTCATTACAATGTTATTAGTAAATTGTTATTATTTTTTACTACTAAGTTCAAGTTGCAATAGCTTGCAGGAAAAAAAAAACCTGTTTTGTGTATCAGTGAACCTTTCTGATGAAATGCATAACCTACATAAAAATGCTTTATGAAAAGTTTGTTGTTGAAGCATAAATTAAAGCAATCTAAGTTTGCATAAGATCCGACTATTTCAGAAATATAATAAATAGCTGTCAAATGAATTTAGAATAAAACCTCTAAACCATTTGTACCTCCTACTCATGTCTTAAGTGTCAACCATTCTTAAACCGTCTGTTACATACCATCATAACATGACGTTCTAAAAAAATTTTAAACCCAGAATTTAATTTTATAATTCAATATTGGAAATAAAAACATTTTTCTAAATATGCGTGTAGCATTGCAAATATTTCTGACAATTACATTTTTTTTTTTTTTTTTTTTGCAGTTGCAAAAGATCATTTAGTAAATTATAATTGATAATTTTATAAATGACCGTAGAATTTGACTTTGATTACAAAATTAAACAACTTGCGTCAGTTAATGCATGAAAGATAAATTTGAAATAAAATGTTAATAGATTTAATTTATGAGTTTTTTTGACCCAATTTTAAAGTAGTTTTTTAGAAAATTACACGGAAGTAATGCATTGTTGGAGACAGCCGCAAGATTGGCGTTTGCCATGGGCGTCATTTATCCTAGATACGCCACTGCTAAACAATGTATTTACTATGCATGATAGTTTTGCAATTGTTTTTAAAGTTGTGAACAATATAACCTAGTTTTTTAGAAAATTGATGTTTTGCCTCAAAAAATCCGAAGGACATAAACTAACAACATCCTATTCACTTTTCAATTGTTACAATAAATATACAACTCTATGAAGAGTTTGATAGTACGAGTGTTCTTCAGTGGGGTCATCTAAACTATTAAAAAATCCATCTTAAAAGATGCTATCAGTGTAATACCAACACTCAAGAGCATTATTACGCACCATAGATACCATAGGGTACACCAGGGGCGGATCCAGCATTTTTTGGTGTTTGAGATAGCTAACTTCCAGACATGGAGTGAACTCCAAACATTTATATGTTTATACTTATATCAAATAAGGATGGTTTGCAAAAAATTGCGATGATTGGAGTCTGGGAACAAAAAAACCCCAAAATTTGAGACGTACCTGCCCCAAACGTGAGAGCAACAAGTTGATGAAATATTTTTTGTACTATTCTCAACAAGACTTATATTTATCCATAACTTTTAAATTTTATTGTAAAATATTTCAGCATTCAAAAATTATGACCATGTAAAGTTTGAATCCCCCTCAATTTGAGGGGGTTACAATTTTTATATAGTCATAATTTTTTAATGCTAAAATATTTTACAATGGAATTTAAAATTTATTGATAAATATAAGTCTTGTTGAGAATAGTACAAAAAATATTTTATCAACTTGTTGCTCTCACGTTTGGGGCAGGTACGTCTCAAATTTCGGGGCTTTTTTGTTCCCAGGCTCCAATCATCGCAATTTTTTGCAAACCATCCTTATTTGACATAAGTATAAACATATAAATGTTTGGAGTTAGCTGCATGTCTGGAAGTTAGCTATCTCAAACACCATAAAATTCTGGATCCACCCCTGGGGTACACCATAGGGTAGAGCGTGGCATATAAAAACAAATGTTAGTTGTGAATGAAAAAATCATAGTTAACACTGTTTTTTATAAATTCCCTAAAATTAATTGATATAAGAAAACAGAAAAAAAAATTCTAAAAATAATCTACGACAATCTAATTAATCCTAGTCAGCAAAAATTTTACATTTTGTTTGTGGGTGTGGCAAAACGGGACAGTTTAAAAGAAACAGTTATTCTTTGATTTTAAAGCTTTAAAAATGATAAAAAAACCCATACAAACTACACGCCCACACATCCATACACCACAAAAAAAGAAATAACAACTGTAATAAAAAAAAGTTTTTATATTTTATTATAAAATACTCTTAAACAAACAAACTTAAGAAATTGTTCTAAAAATTAAGTAGGACAAAACTAGTATATATTGTTAAATTGGTAACTACAATTAAAATTAAAATTAAACAAAAAATTATTACGGATCATATAAATCGCACAAAAAATATCCTGAAACTATTTGGCAACATTTCTGATGAGCTGGCTTCTAAGGAATATGTAGAGCAAACTTAAATAAGTTTTTTTAAACTTTTCCATTTCTAAGTTCTTTTTTACTCACAGCTAAAACTGCATTTCATCCCATTTTGGATGATTGATTTTTTATATATAATTTCTTACCATCGTTGTTTACATTAAACACTATTAATAATCAAAGTTAAGTTATAAAAGTAAAAATTTTTTTTAATTTACTACTGATATTTCTTTTCTAAATAAGGAAAATAATACTTTAGATTAAAAATAAAATCATTAAACTGAAAATAAAATAGTAATAATATATTCAATTATATAAATAACCTGTTGAAACAAATTGTTGAACGTTCAATATTTTACTAAATATTGTACGCGCTTCCCAATATTTTTATATTGGGAAGTGCGTATATCTGTAGTAAAATAATTCTCCATTTTTTCAACAACTCCATTTTTTTACAAGTAGAAAATTTATTTCGCATTTTTCCTCAACTAAAATAATTAATTGAAGTGTCAAACGTCTCTGCTTATCTATGCTCTGTTGTTCATTTTTTAAAAAGGGTGTATGTGTATAAGCTTACTGATTTCGCATTTTGAAAATAGGCTAAATAACCATTACAAAATTAAATGTAAGTTTGCAGATTGGTTGGAACCCAGTTTTTTTTATTGAAGATTTGGACAACTTGCAAATTTCGTAAAACCTTTAATTAAAAAAACTTAAACCTGCGTAACATTAAAAAAAATTAATAAACTGTCTATTTACTTTCTAAAAATTTTAGTAAAAAAAGGTCTATATAGCTTTAATTTCAAGGTTTAAGGTTTTGATCTTGTTTCTTGAATTAAAGGTCTTGCAGCCCACAGTCCTGCGCCCATGCATTGTTGCCCACAGGATTGTTTGATGTTTTAGATATGACACTTTTATGCTCTCTGCAAACTCCAAACTTAAGTATGTTCATACCAATGCCAAATGAGAAGGCCTTGCAAAAAAATTGGGTTGGTTGAGACTGGGAACAAAAAAACCCTAAAGCGATTGCTCACTTGCTTAAAAGTGTGGGCACTGATGTTGTAAAATTTTCAATTTTAAAATATAAATTTAAATTCATAGAAAGACATAAAATTTCATTCAAAAATATTATGAATTACAAAATTAATGACAATGCAAAATTTACAACCTTTCTTTCAAAAATAATTTTTGTAATTCACATATTTTTTCTTGAAATTTAAAATCAGTCGATGAATTTAAACTTAGTTTAAGATAGTAAATATAAAAATTTTACTTCATCAGTGTCCTCACTTTTGATTAGGGGGCAAACGTTTTAGGGCTATTTTTTCCCTGGCTTCCACCATACTAATTTTTTGCGAAGCCTTGTCATGTATGAACAGACTTAACTTTGGAGTTTGCACAATCCGAAGTTTTGATAAAAACATTTTAAAAAACATTAAAAATACAGTATTCAACCTGATTTTTTTTAATAATGTAAATTTGGATTGTATATTATAAAAAATGTTGACTGTTTCTGGTGTATATATCATTTATTTGTTCTTCATTGCAGTTGTACACAATACATTGAAAAAAAAATACTTCTACGAAGTAAAATGGAAATTTTAGTTTAAAAAAACCCATGTCTTTGAACATCATTTTGAAGCCTAACCGAATAAACTGTCAGGAAAATTGCACGTTTCAATAAATAATAATATAAAACAAGTATTTACAGAAGAAATGATTCCCATTCTTACGTATGTATTAATGTTATTCTCTTGTATATGAAAATAATGCAAGAAGCATGTTTCAGATCTGCCTACTAAGTTTGTTTACATTACGCAAGTGCCTTAACTTCTTTTTTACATTCACTTTTTTTTCAAATAATACTACTTTATACTTTTAAAATTTATACAAGCATTTATTAATAATATATATTTCATGAATTAATTAGAGAAATAAATTATTTATTATCACAATTTTATTTTTAAAGATCGGCAAATCATTACAAAAAATTAGATAGATTTACAGAATCGAAAGTGAAAAAAAAATCTATATTTTAAAATAACATTTTTTACAACCTTGACGATTTGATCACTTTATAAACAAACATGCCGGTCACTAATAGGACAAATGAGGCATTAAAAAGATCTGCAACTTCTGCTTTGAACAAGACCACTGATCCGATTGAAAAACTTAGACTAGCTTGTTTGTCTAGAGGTGCAGCTGGTATAAAAGGATTAGGAAGGTATATGATTTAAAATTTTTGTTACAAAAACTTTTAAAATGCGAAAAGCACTCATGTTTCATGTTACAAGAACTTTTAAAATGCGAAAAGCACTCATGTCCCAAGTAAACAACTTAATATCCAACAAAATTTTTTGCAAGTTTGTTTTTTAATGCAAATTACGCTTTTTTAAAACTATTTAAAATCCAAGTTTTGTTATTTTTTATAATCAACTTTTGTGTTGTTTACAAATTTAAAGTATTTATATTCTATAGAATTTAAATAGTTTAAATTTTTTCCAAAAATCAATCAATATATTTCTAGAAGAGGTTGGTGTGAAATTTCAAGGTTGTTTAATAGATAGGAAAATTATTAAAGTTAAGTAAACACCTAATGACAATGATTAAAATAATATTTAGAATAATAAACATAAAAATCAAAATAATAGTAGTCAAAACAACAATAATGATAACAAAAATAATAAAAAAATAATAATAAGTCACTTTTCTTTTAAACGCAATAATAATAATAATAATAATAATAATAATAATAATAATAATAATAATAATAATAATAATAATAATAATAATAATAATAATAATAATAATAATAATAATAATAATAATAATAATAATAATAATAATAATATATATATATATATATATATATATATATATATATATATATATATATATATATATATATATATATATATATATATATATATAAAGTAAGACAGTAACAAACAGTTAAAAACTAACAAAATGTAACAATTAACAATGGCGTAAAACAATTATTTAAATTGAAAACAAGAAAATAGGAATAATACTGATAAAATTAAGAATAATAATATCCATGATTAAAATAGTTATATTAGAAAAAAAAAAAAAAAAAATTTGATGTTAAAAGAAGTAAATACTATCAAAAAAAAAAAACTAACAAAAATAAAAAAGAAAAACAAGAAGCTTTATAAACAAAAGTAAATTTAATATTGTGACATGTATTCACAACCATATATATGCACATACACAAATATGTACATTCGCATAGACATACACACACGGATATATACATACATATACATAAGCATACAAAAATACACACACACACATACACACACACACATATATATATATATATATATATATATATATATATATATATATATATATATATATATATATATATATATATATATATATATATATATATATATATATATATATATATGTATATATATATGTATATATATGTATATATATATATATATGTATATATATATATATATATATATATATATATATATATATATATATATATATATATATATATATATATATACAGTTTTAAAAACATTTACAACCATTAAACAAACAAAACAATCTAAAAAAAAATACGAAACAATACACAAACAAAGCATGGCAGAGCACAAAATTGCATAATAAAATAAACACCGTACAAAAATTAAACACTTTAAACAATACACAAAAATATATGACAATATAAGCAATTGTACAACAATAATTTTAAAAATTGAATAATTATAAAAAGTTGTTCTTTTATCTTTTGTTTTTTGCCTATATGAAAATTTATTGTTCTGTTTTATTTTTAATTTCCATTATTTTGTTTTTAGTAGTTTGTTTTTTTTCCTATTCTTTTTCTCTTCAGTCATTTTATTTGTTTAAGTTGTTTAATCCTATTAAAAATATCAAAATAAATAAAACTAAATGCAATATGAAAGTCATTTTTAAAGTTATATATATTCACAATATTTGTGCTTTCCTTGTCACTTGTTAGCTTGTCAAAACAAGAAATCTGTGGTAAATCTGGTAATAACTTGATACCAGTATAAAATTTGAATTGTTTATCAATTTAATCATCTAAAAGAAGATAATAGTATTGCGATATAATAGTATTGCAATATATTATAATTATGAGTTTGTACGATATTGTAATTTATAATTGTTTAATAGTATTGTTTAAGGTGTTGAAATTCATATTTGTTTAATTATGAGTTTGTAAGCTATTGTAATTCATAATTGTTTAAGAGTATTGTTTAAGGTGTTGTAATTCATAGTTGCATAAAATAATTTAATTCTTAAGATAAATAGTAATAGTATTACAAACTGCTGTAACGACTGTCGCTGAGCATAAAGTATACTTTAACAACCATTACCAAATGTTTATCTAGTCTAGCTTTAAAAGAATTTACTCTCTTTGCAGATACCATTTTTTCAGGTAAGGCATTCTAATAAGGTTTGTAAAAAAATTGTCTCATTTTTGCAAATTTCCTTTTAAATTTCATTAAATGACCTTTTAGACTTTAATAAGAAGCTTTATGAAGCTCTTTGTACCACAATACCAATACCAGTTGTTATTTAAAAAAACTCAATAAGATCACCTCTTATACATCTTGTTTCCAATGTTGTAAGACCCAACTTTGTCAATCTTTTAGTATAACTCATATGTTTTAGTTCAGGTGCAAATTTTTTGCTCATGAACTTTTTTCAGGTCGTTAATATTTTTTTTATTACGTAGACACCATACTGGTAGGGGTCCATAATCATCTTTTTTTAGATTTTTTTTAGTTTAACCAATTTTTCTTAATTAGTTTTTTATGCTGATTCTGAAAATCATAGTCATTTTATTTTCATTTTAATTATTTAGCCTTCTACTTCAATTTTAATCAAAGTGATTATTTTGTCAAAAAAAGGCATTGTTAAAAATAGATGAAATTATTATTATCATTAAATATAAGAAAAGTAGAAAATAGAAATCTTTTTCTGTTTAATTTATCAATAATATACATTATAATTTATAAGTAACAAAAAAAATTGAAGTATTATATATAAAATAATTCATACAGTTTGCTATTTTTACTATTGAAAATGGAAAATAACTATAAAAGTCATCATATGTGATAGAGGATTGCTGCGGCAACTTTCCTTGTAGAACATCTAAGTTATGAGCGTGTTTTTCTGTAGACATAAGATGGAGGTTTATATTTTTATATCTTGTATTTAAACAAAATAGATCTCCGTGACAATGACCTACTTGTATCCCTAAAATAAACTCATTTTTCGATCTTTTTTTTTCATTTTAACATATCTTTATCTACTTCAATAAGGTCTAGTTCACAGTTAAATGGGTCGCCTTGTAACTTTAATCAAACTAAATATCTTGCACACCTGATGTAAAGTTTGCTGCTCTTCCATTGTTATCCATTTGTTTTTGTAGCTGGTTTTAACTATATTCCATAGTTTCAACTTTTTGGACAAATAGTTGGACAATAATTTTCTAAAATATTTTTAAACTACGCGAACCTTCATTTTTTTATATGGTTTAAATAATTAAGTAAACATCCACTGTTGAAATTAAAGAGTTTTTTCTAAAGCTTTCCAATCGCAGCAACTTAATTAGAAAGTTTATATTCATCATATTCTACCATCAACCAAACATGTAATACTTCTCTCTTTTTTGAAGTACTGAAGTTAACTTTTGCCAAAATACTCTAGCAAGAATGATACAATCAATAAATTTCTTTGAGATATACTTAGTAACTGCTTGTAGAATTTTTTTAACTAGCTATTCACAGCGTTTTAGAGTAAAGCAGAAAATTTCAAAATTTGATCACTCAGTTTGTTTTTTATAAAGCTATTAGGTAGTGGTAATCCTTTAGACTAACTGTTTATCTTTAGAGTTGTTAAACCTTTAGAATTTAACTGAACTTCTACTGACTGGCACTTTAAAAGAAGACTTTTTTTTCTTGACTTCATTAAAGAGAAGTGAAAAAAATCCTATAGAACACTATAACCTTCACCTTGGTTCTTCGTGTAAACTCCAATTCTAATAGTGGTTGTTTTCAGCCTTGATGTAGGTGAAGATGTTTAAAAAAACTTTTTTATGTCTGATTTTATGATTCTTTTTTCAAGGGGGGTATAGGGAAAAAGGACAACAGGTGACAAAGGAGGGGGTTCAAAAATTGGCTTAAAAATGGTGATGATCTTTATGAATGGTCCCTAAGGAGCCTGCTTATCTTTATGCAAAGTTATTATTATTAGTTACAGTTTATTGATGCCCCATGAACATTACTGCCCAGGAAAGACAATCCTTTCTCCTTCTCATTGTGTCTAATTAGATTATGCCTTATGACTTTTTTCTTTAATACAAATGTTTTTTGGGATTATATATATCCTCATCAAAATCTTAAATAGCCTTCTTGATAGCTTAATTAACGATTAAAAAAAAAAAAAGGAAATTAAGATATTTTGAACCAATCTGTCTTTTTGATTATTTAAAACGTTTTGTTTAGAAAGAGACTTCAATTTCTTCAAAACTTTTTTTTTCTAAAAAGCAACAATTAAAAATCAAATTCATCCAATCAAAATTTGAATAGCACAAATTTGAAAGAAAAGTTGTGTAACTTTTTAGGCAAAGACTTTTATTTTTTATATCTTTAAATTTTTAAAATAGAAGTAGAAGGTCAACCATTAAAAATTAGCAAAAACTGAATTGTTTTTTGAACTTTTCTCAAAAAATTTAAGAAAATCTCAAAAGATTTAGTATAAGATTTTGTGTGCTTTATATGTAGCTTTTTGAACCTGATGGTTCCAATTCATATTGGATGAAAATATTACAAGTCTAGTTCTTTTGTTTTTATTTTTAGAAGAAAACTTTGATTTTCTTGTTTCATTGTGTAGTTGTAGTTAATATTTTTTTGTTCAATGTGCATAATACTATATTTACTTATGTTAAATTCCATTAGCCATACATCTGACCATTCAGTTAACAAATCAATATCGTTTTACATATTAATTATATCGTTTTCTTCTTTTATAACTGATATGATTTTAGTATCATCTGCATATAAATTTGCAATTGAAGAGATACATTAAGAAAGATCGTTGATATATAACAGAAAGAGAAAAAGACTTAATACCAAACCCTGGGGTACATCACTACAAATCTCGCACCAATCTGATATAATTTCACCTATTACCACTCCATTTGTTTTCTGTTTTTAAAATAATTCTGTTTTTTTTTAATCCAATTTAAAACATTCCCTTTTATTCCTTAGTTTAAAATATTATACATAAGTGGATGGTGGGGCACCTTATTGAATGCCTTTGCAAAATCTAGGAACAATATATCAATTGGATAATCATTTTCAATTTCAATTGTATTTATATTAAAAGTTTCTAATAAGTTTGTTAAGCAACCTTTATTTTGTACAAATGTTAAATTGTTTATAAATTGTTTTGCTATTATATAAATCATCAGCTTTAATTACTTTTTCGATTATCTTGCTTGGTATTGATGTTAAAGAGATAGGTCTGTTATCGAGCGGATCCTTCTTGTCTCCTTTTTTAAAAGTGGTGTAATGTTTGCATATTTCCATAATTCTGGCAGTTCTCCTGAATGAGTTGATTTCTTGAATATTATAGATAAAGTTTTAGATAATCCTTCTGAAAAAATATTTGAACACATAGGGACTGATGTTATTGCAACCAAGAGGTTTGTTTTCATTAAGTTCTAATAAATAGTTTAATTATTTAGTTCTTGATCCCAGTCACATTTAAATAATTGACTTGTTTTACTGATGAAATGTGGTAGATTTTGGTTTTCTTTGAAAAATATGATTGGAAACTAGAAATATTAAACTAGTTATTATTTTATTGTCACTAGTTTCAAGTGCTAGTATTTTTGTATTTGATTTTTCCTTTGTGTGTATGTGTAGAAGGAATAAGTTTAACATCTTTTGCTAAACTTATTTCATAATCACATGTAGATTTTTTAATTTGTTTTTTAATTTTTTTATTGACTAATCTGTATTAGTTATTCAAGTTTGTATTCTTGAAGTTCATAGCACACACTATGCACCACAAACTACGTTTTTTTTTTAAATTAAATTCTTGATTTGTTCATTAATGCATGGAATTTGGATAGAACTAGTGGATTTAAAGTGATGAAGAATTGTTTGCAAGCTTTTTCACAATTTTTTAAAAAGTATTCATATCATTGATTTGTAGACATATTGAAGATTTCAACCCGATTTATTTTATTATACACGAGGTTCATTTCCTATGAATTATTCTTTTTTTTTCAAAAATTAAATCTTTTACTGTTGAACTTTTTGTCACATGAATTGAAAAGATTAGTTTCCCATTTTAAGATATAATGACTTTTAGAAATTCGACTAAGTGGATCATATTCAATGTTGATTACAAAATCTAGATTGTCACATTAAAAATTATTATATTTGTTGGTTTATCAATAGCCATTTGAAAAGTTGATTTGCTAACTATTTGATGTAAATAGCTGTTTTGCAAATTTTTAATAAATGCTTTACTTGTTTGGCAGTTTTGTTTTAGTTCAATAGTTCCATCTTCATTCCAAATATTATTTGGGTAATTAAGATTACCAACAATCATTATATTATACTAGTATTTTCCACTATTTAACACTTCTTTTTTTGCAGTTTTTATTAATTCTTTAATTGAATTGTTTACTAAGTCACTACTGCTCGGTGGTCTGTATATACATCCAATTAATGATTTTGTTTTAAGAAGTACTAAGCTACACCATAATTGTTCAACTTCTTTATATAAAGGTGAAACTACTACTTCATAAGCAATTGTGCCATATTTGGCAAAGATTGCAATACCTCTACCTTGTTTATTTGTTCTATTATTGTAAAAGCAGTTGTTAATATTTATAAATAAGTCATTTTTGAACCATGCTTCACAAATAAGCATGATATCTGGTGAATCTATCATGATTTTTGTTTCAAACTCTGTTTTTTTATTTACCAGAGATGTATTGTTTGTATACCAATATTTAAGATATTTTTTAACAATAAGTTCATTTAAATTTTTGTTTTCCAATTTACTGAAATTTATTGAGTAAAGTTGCTGTTTGGTGGGTAAATTGATTTTTTAATGTCTTTTCGCTGCTATCTTCCTATTTTTATTACTTTATCCTTTTGATGCCGTAATAAAAAACTTTTCTCTCTTCCTATTTATTACTTTTATCTCTACATTCTTGTCTCAATAACTTTGATTTATATCTTTCTGTTTCTGTTAAGTTCGGATTGATGAAAACTTTTCATACTCTTTTGAGTCACGTAGCTCTTTTTCAATAGTTTTTTTGTTGTCTAACTTTGCTTAGCTTTTGTCTTCATTGTCTAAAGCTTTTTTTCCAAAAATTACAACATTCTCTTGTTTTTCTCTTTCCTTTGTTTCAATTGCCATTATTTTTATTATGAGCATTGGTTCAGGAGATTTCTTTATTTTATCTTCCCATGTTTTCTTCTTCTTACTTTTTTTCTACCTTCTCTTTTTCTACCTTCTTACTTTTTTTCTACCTTCTCTTGCAGATTTACTATTTTCCAATTCTTCAACTCTTTTCATTAATTTTTGTTATCATCGTTGAGTTTTTTGATCAAATCTCTAAACTCTTTTTGTATCTGTGTCTGTTGTGCTTTGTAAGTTGTTAAATTCCATGATTTGAACACTTACTATATTCTTTTTACCTCAAAAAGTTTTTTTTTGTAATTGTTTTTTTTTTTTTTTTTTTCACCCAAGAAAAAACGTTTGCCATCTTTAGGTTTAATGTCCTTAAACGTCTGCCATCATTAATGGTTTAAAAATGTTTTGAATAAGTGTTTTCAAATTTTTAGAAAAAGTTTTTTTTTTAAATTGCGTATTTTGTAAAATTATAACATATTGTTAAATGACTTTGGTTGTTCTAACTTTTAAAATAATAAAATTGCACATATTTCAATCTTATTAGTTTGTCTTTTATTCTGTTTTTGTTTTACCAAAAGGACTTTTAAAATATTTGATGATGATGGCAGCAGAACACTTGACTTTAAGGAATTTAGTAAAGGATTGCGAGATTATGGATTGCATCTGGAGCCTCAGGTATTTTTTTACATGACTTATTTCAGCTTTTATTTATTGTGCATTTAAATCATTAAGATTTCAAGGATATTATTGATACTTTAAATTAGGTAGTGGATATTTAATAGTAATTGCATGTTTATATTTTTGTTAGGTTATTTAAAGATTTAGTTTGTTCTAGATTATTTAGAGATATCAGTTGTAGTTTTACTAAAGAAATTAAACATACAATTAAATGAATAAATGATATTATAGAAATTGTAAAAACCAAACATATTGAAAATATGTTTGGTTTATACAATTTCTATAATATCATTATCATAGGGAAGGTTATTCCAAGATTTTATACTTTGGTTTTTTATGGACTTATATCCATAAGTAACAGAACGATGTTTTAAGACTGCAAGATTCAGATTATCAATTAATTGATGATAGTAACGGTTATTTGCATTTTTTGGGAAGAAATTATTGAAGGTAAGAGGCAGGTTTTTGTGTTGGTGATTCCATAAAAACTGGCAATTCAAGAATTGAACAAGGTAACATAGTTTAAGGATCTTAGAAGTAAGATAAAACACATTAGGATTGAATTTATAATTCTTAAAATGTATTATTTTCAAAGCTTTGTTCTGAAGATGGAAAAGTCTCAATTTTAAAAAGTTTCAATTTTTTCCTCAAGAGTAGTCCATAAGCTTTTTTGACATTTTTGCACTTTTGGGTGCAAAAAACCAGAAATAAATAATTCTTTTGTAACTTTAAAATCCGCAGTCTTTTTTGGGACTTCACACCCCTGCTTGCAAGAAGCATAATTCATCTATGTTCCTGTCAATTAATTGTGATCTTATTTATGTGGTGATAAATTTGTCAGCATAGAAGGCTGTTCTGATTTGACAATTGTTTGGCAAACAGTCATGAGATAATCCTGTACAGTTTTTTTTTTTTTTTTTTTTTTTATTTTATCGGGAAAATCATTTTATTAGTAATAGACAAAATATTTATACAGCTTTTTGAATCATTTCCATCAGTGGACCTATATTTGTATGTTAGTGGACCTATATTTGTATGTCAGTGGACCTATATTTGTATGTCAGTGGACCTATATTTGTATGTCTATTAATTGAATCAATATTCATTTTAAATTATAGCTCTAAACTCAATTTCAACTCATTTTATTATTTTTTTTTTTTTAAATTCATTTTAGATTATAGCTCTAATGTTGGTAACATCATTTTTCTTGTCATCCAAAAAGTATTCTAGTTCTGAACTTGTTTATTTTTCCAACTCGCCTACATTTTTTTGTCATCCAAAAAGTATTCTAGTTCTGGACTTATTTATTTTTCCAACTTGCCTACATTTTCTGATGAATAATTATCATAAAGGAATGTCCCATCTGTCTAAATTAAAATTTAATTCCAAAATACCTAACGTTATAGTTTTTTTCTCCAAAAGAATTATACATTTATCAGTCGAAATTAATCCATGAATTCTGAACTGAACAATGTTTTGAAATTTGTTCAATGCATGTAACATTGATATAACAACAACATGAGATGTCCTCTCATTTAATGTGATGCTTAAATCTTTACTATAATTAGTTTGTGTTTTTAGTTTGGCTAAGATTCTTTGGCATATTTTTTATCACATAATTTTTAAAATCATATTTGGTGAATTTAAAATATTATTACAACCCTTAATACCTAAAAGTATACTTAAATCAATAGATGTACGAAACTAAACAAAAAACCATCTTTGGTTGTTATTTGTGCAACACCTGCACTAAATATCAACTGCTTTTAAAACAAAAATTTAAATAATTCATTAACTAAATTGTTGATGAGTTGTTTAAACTTGTAGATGTGTTTGTGTTTAATTCTAATTTTATTTCATTCATCTTAATTATCTTTTATAAATAGATTAATTTTGTTTTCTGTTTGAATATATACTATACCACTTGTACTGCATTTATATTGCTGCTAAAAGTTTGAATTGTTTCTAAACATTTCTTCCATTGATCTGCACTTCAATGTTGTACCCATATAAAATAACACCATGGTGAATTTTTATCCATGACTAAAAATCATAAATCCAAAAACAGAAAAGCTGATAGCAGGTATTAAATTTCAATTTTTGATAAACAGGTACTAAATTTCAATTTTGATAAACAGAAAATATTAGTTACAACAAAAAAGCTTTTTAAAAAAACAAATTCAGCAATATCAATTAACAACTTGACGAGGTAAATTTATTTTAAGGCTTAAAATTTTATTTTCGAACTTTCTAATTGTATTTTACTTTGTTTTTTTGTTTTTTTCTGTGACTTTTTTTACTTTTCTTTTTCATTTTAACATGTTTGTTTTTTTGTTTTATTAATTTCTACTTTTTTTTTTTTCTTTTTTTTGCTCTTTTTTTTTTCCCCTTATTTAAATTTTAAAATTTGTTTTTGGTTTAAAAAAGACATTTAAATAATCATTTGCTAAGTTGTTGCAGTTTTTTATACAGAGCATAGTTTCTTATTGGATGGATAATTTTAGTTTCTTATTAAATGACTGAGTGTAGTTTTTTATTGGATGGTTAAATGAGTGTAGTTTTGTAATGGGTAAATGAACTTGGTTTTTTTGGGTTTTTTATAATAGTTTTTTACCATAATAATCAGTAATAACCAATTTAGTTAATCAAATTGCATTTCTATCTGGTTTACTGGTAAACCAATTTATCACCATTGAAACCCTAAGGTGTGCAGTTTTAAATCATATAACTATAAATTATGTACATGTTTACATAAATATACAATTAAATGCATTTATAGGAGGTAAAGGAAATCTTTGATGCATTTGACAAAGATAAAAGTCAGCAATTGGATTTTGATGAGTTCTTATTAGCTTTAAGAGTAAGTTATTGAATATATACACTATTAATGTATAATATTACTATTGTCAATTTTTATTTTTTTATATTTTAGTTATCAATAAAACTTTAGTAATTTGTGATTTGATATTTGGCTTTAATAATTATTTTATTTGGATTATATAATTTTTGTTAGATTTCTTTGTAGTTTAAATTTTTTGATAATTTCATCATCTTTTTTTTTTTTTTTTTCAGCCTCCAATGAGTAATGCACGTAAAGCTATTATCTCAAAAGCTTTTAATAAACTTGACAAATCAGGAGATGGCTTTGTTACAGTTGAAGATTTGAAAGGGTAATTTTTTTTTATTTTGATGATTGATTTATATGCTTAGCATTTCAGTTAGGTCAGGTCACCCTGCTACTGTTAACATGTAATCTAGACAATCTTTAATCGTAGCGAAGAGAACTTATCTGGAATATAGATAACTCGTGGGTAAGAGTAGGAAGAGCGCATGGATGGAGTAAGAAAAGTGTATGAATACCCTGGATGTTAATCTTTCTAGTATCACAATAAAAATACTCATTCCTTATCTTCAAATAAGTTTAATGCTACAAAGAACACCTAGTTGTAAAATTGCTTGAGCTTTTCCTAATGTCATATTGAAATAAAAAAATTTGCATAATAGAAGCCATTATTGCATTACAAAAAAAAAACATTCTTAAAAAATTACTTCTCATGGTTTCACACAAGAGTGAAATCATGAACAGTAACTTTTTTAAGAAAGTTTTTTTATTTTATACTTTTTTTTTTTGATAGCACTTATAATGTGACTAAACATCCTAAGTACTTAAGTGGTGAATGGACTGAGGATCAGTGTTATCGCCAATTTCTCGATGCATTTGATACACCTGATAGTTGTGATGGAACGGTATTTTTGTTGTTGTTTTTCTTTTTTTACTTTTTTTTGTTTTTACATTTTATTGTTTATGTTTATGCAGTCATTAAAAATTTTTTTTTGTTTTAAAAAAATTATTTTCATAAACAATAAAAAGATGTTCTTTTCGAAAATAAAACAGTTTTGAGGTTTATTAAAATTTATCACACTAATTTGATGCATAATATATATCTTACTTAAATGGTTTTGAACGTTTTATGTTGAATATCACAGTTTCAAAACAGTGTTTAAAGAAACAAGTATTCATTTTTTAGATTTTCTTTTATTTCTGGAGTTGCCTGCATAGGCATTTAATGTTTTTGGAGTCTTGAAAAAAATTATTCTTTTAAGTCCTGAAGAAAATTATTATTTTTAAATAATATGTTATTGAAAAAAATTATTATTTTTAAATAACATGTTATTGACATTCGTTAAGAAATCTCTACTTTTTAAGTTTGAGTTTTGGACTTTTTCAATAAAAGTTCTTAACTCAAATTTCTTGGAAAACCTTTGAAAAAGTAATTTTGATTTTTATGTTCAAAAAATTTAAGTTATTTCATTATGAAAAAATTTAATAAAAATTAAAATAAACTGTTTAGATAACTTTAGAAGAATTTATCAATTATTATTCTGGAGTGAGCGCTTCAATTGATAACGATGCGTACTTTGATTTAATGATGAGAAATGCTTATAAGATATGATGAATGCTTACAAGATCTGATAAGCTTTTCACATTTTGTACATATATTTGTCATGCTTTTCTTATGTATATATTACAGATGATTTTTAAACTTCAGCATTTGTTTAAATAAATTTTTAATATATATTTGTTTTGGTTTTAATTTTTTTTTTTAATTTACATCAAATTTTTTTAATTTAAATCTTTGGAATGGCTAAGATGTTCTATATTCACAAGTGTGTAAATAAATTGAATATTTAATAGATATTTGACATTTTTCATTTGTATATAAAGATAAATTTAATGTTTTGTGTGATTTTTGTTATTTATATATGTTTACTTTATATAAATTGTATTTTATATATGTACGTTCTGCATTTTACACTTTATCCTGATAATATTTTTTAAATTTTAACAAGATTTTATATAGAAGATAGATTGCATTTTTTATGTTTTATTATCATGAATTTAATAATATATTTGAATTTTTAAATATAATTGGGTATGTGATTGTTAAAAGTATATTGTTATTAATGAAAGTCTGCGTTAGCCAAAATCCAATAGTTAATAAAAATAACTTGATTTTTATTTTTCTACTCAAAAACACTGCCACCAATTGACATCTATACAATTTTCTGCAACATGGCGAACTAAAAAAACGAATTTGTATAAAAATTGTTTAATAAACTACTATGCAATAAAAATATTTAATGCTAAAATATTTAATAAAAGACAAAAGAATTATTTTAAAGTTTTAACATTTTGACTTGTTACGATTTCAAAAGATTGATATTGCAGCAGCCGTGGCGAAATGGTTAGACCACTAAAACCATGTGGTTAGACCACATGGTTTTAGAAGCAAGAGATTCAGAGTTTGAAGCTCTAGGGATTTTTTTGGCGTCGTTAAGTAAGGAGGTGATGTCTCAATGAAAATACATATTTAAGACAGATGTAAACTACATCCGGCTGCTGTCCTGTAGGAAACCTCCTAGATTTTGAAAATAACAGAAAATCTTTGCGGCAGAGCACAGGGCCGACAATACCGAGGGACACGTTTTTTCTAAAGCCTTTTTTTTTTTTTAAAGAAAATTCTAGATATAGAAGACTTTTTAAAAACTAATGGTTGTTTAACAAAGTTCACCCTGCCTTCCTTATAAATGTTACTTACATGGCCAGAGCCAATATCAAACTTTGGACCTCCGGTTCTGGAGCTAGAACTTATCTTAAGTTTTAAAAAGAAGCCGAGATTCCTTTTGTTATTTTTTGGTGATAATTTTTTAAGATGCTTTCATTTCTCTCTCTTGTGTGAGTTGCACCACCCACACAATCTGCTAGACTCAGGTTTTGACCAGTACAACATTCTTAAGAACAAAACTTTTTTCATCTAATTAAGTATTCGATGCAAAAAGGTTTGAAACTCTTTATTCTCAGAGAACTCAAATCTGTATTTTATCTAATTTCAAAATATCTTCGGAAAATCTTAAACATCATTAGCAAAAACAGGTTTAAAACTCTATCTATCTTGAACTTTTAAATACTTTTCCCATTAATAAGGTAAAACTATTTGCTAAAAACGTTTTTATATTAATTCAATGTATAAAACCTCAAATACTTTTTGCTAAGAATATCTCTCACTTAAACCCCTTTTCACTTAATTCCTGTCACATTCTTACAAAAGTTTCTCTAGAACTTTCTGCAATACCCTCTATATTACTTTAAAAACGTAAATCTTACCTTTTTACTAAAGGAAAATGACATCTGTGGTTCCAAACCTTTCGAGATCGTTCTGACTCCTCTTCCTCCCACCCAGTCTTCTTAATACTATTAGAAAATTTTTTGAATCTTTAATCAACAAACTTCTTATTTAATTACTCTCTGACATTCAATTCAGATTTTGATATTTTCGTTCCGCAGCTGACTTGTTTACTGATATAACAAAAAAGATTAAATGGATGCGACGAAATAAAAGCTCTCGTTCTTGATGAAACAAAAGTTTTGATAAAATCTTGTATGTTAATGTTCTCCATAAGCTTTCTATCTGGGTTTTAAAGTTATTGAGTTATTCTCATTGTAGCATTAGCGTTATCCTTAATGAGCGACCAGAGAAAGATATTTCTATCATTTTTTTAATAATTTTATTCGTAAGGTAGCTTCTATTTGCTGATAACACAATACATAATCCAGGCCCGAAAAATCACCTTTGATTGGTTAAAACAAACAATAAATCTTGAGTCTGATCTATTTATTATCTCTTTCCCTTTTTTTTATTATCTCGTTCCCCCAATTAAAATTCAACACCGCATTACCTAAAACTCAGTCAGGGTTTTACTGTAACTGATCCTTTACACTCAAACACAGAAAAAACTAATTACATCCTTTTTCATTTATTCCAAATAAAAATACCAGTCACATTACAATATTTTTATATTTTATGACACTTTCTTACTATTTAATTATTTTCTCTTCTCTTAATCACGTCAATAAAGTGTATAATATAAAAAGTTTATAAAGTATACACGCGTATACTATATAAACTAGATACATAAAGAAGATCCTTATAAAACTTCGTCAATAAATATACTATTTGCTATTCTTACCAATATTCGTTAAAATCCAATTTCAAGTTCAAGCATCTAATTTTAGCTTCTTTTTTTTTTAACGATTGCTAAACAAAAGATTTTCTTCGGGCATAATTATCGATTTGTATAATTCTTTCTAGACTTAATGTTTGGAACACAAACTGTTAACCGATATGTCGAATTCCGGTTAATGCGAACTGTTTATTGTCTTTTGAAAGCAATTACAATTATAACAAAATAAAACAAAACAAAATAAAACAAAATAAAACTCTTGAAAGCAAAAAACAATTATAACAAAATAAAATAAAATAAAAAATAGCTAGTATAGATTATTTAATAAAGAGTAAAATGGGGTCAAATGGAATAGTTAAGGATATTTATTAGAGCTCATTATCGAAATTGCAATTTTCGAAAATTTTCGATTAAAACGTTATCAAAATTCTAAATCGGAAACTTTTTTTTTTCGAAATCTAAAAAAACTTTCAAAAATAATCGAACTAGCCGTATTAATTTCGAAAAAAAAAGTAATTTTGAAATGTGAAATTAACTTAGAAATAAAAAGGTGGTTTTCGAAAAGGCAAATTTATTTTGAAAGGAAAAAAAGAATTTCGAAATGTGAAATTAATTTCGAAATAAAAAGGTGAATTTCGAAATATGAAATTAATTTCGAAAAGAAAAAAAGAATTTCGAAATAAAAAGGTGGATTTCGAAAAGGAAAATTTATTTCAAAAGGAAAAAAAGAATTTTGAAATGTGAAATTAATTTCGAAATAAAAAGGTGGATTTCGAAATAGGAAATTAATGTCGAAAGAAAAAAAAGAGTTTCGAAATCTCAAATTAACTTCGAAAAAAAACAATGTACTTTGAAAAGTCAAATTAATTTCGAAAGAAAAAAAAGAATTTCGAAGTCTGAAATTAATTTCGAAAAAAAACAAAAGATATTTGATAAGCTAAATTAATTTCGAAAATGAAATTATCGAAAAGTTTAATTTATTTCGGAAAAAAAATTCTTTTTTAGAAAGTTTTGCAAAAGAATACTATTTTGGTAAATTTATATCGGCGCCAGCATGTTTAGTATGCAATGAATCTGTTTTAGAGTGCAAAAAATATAATTTAATGAGGCACCATGTTTCATAACATTTTAAAAACTTAACCAGTTTCTTTTTTTTTTTTTCTAATTATTATCTTTTTTTTTGCCGTATAATAAAATTTACAAATGAGAAAGATCATAGATATATAAAAAATGGCCGGAGCAAAAAGAAGACATAAACTGCCTTATCGCCAAGCCCCGTTTACATTGACTTACTTAACTACCTCCTACTATTTTATAGAAGAACCTGAAATTATTTTAAAAATAATTCAGGGGTAGTTCGCAAATCATCCACATATTTAGGCCTAGCGGGGTTTCGGATTTTGTGACACTTTGTAACCGGGGAGTGGAAGAGGGTTTACAAATTTGTGACATCACAGGTGATTAAAACGGAATAAAATAAAATTACTAACTTTAATAAAACTCTAAATATATAGAAAATAGTTTTATTTTTGCTACTTTTTAAAAGAAACTGCTACCAAAAAAGCAAGGGTATACTCAGAGCCGTGGATAGACCACGTTCCTCCCATAATTAGGGAATATGTAGCTGATAATACCATAAAAAAATTTCAGCAATTGTCAACGCCACCTATTGCAAATAATATTAATTTAGTTAACAACAAAAGATGAAAGTCAATCAACTTAATTTAACTAGTAACAGATAAATCTTGTTGTAATTTAATTGAGAGCAATGATAAACTTGAAAAAGAAATAAATGATTACAGTCTGCAATACTTTCAGAGCTACAAAAATAGTGCCATTAAAATTTTCCAAACTAATCAAAAACTGTTCTGGTTTTGACACAAATTGCACGGATAATATTTTCAGTTCCAGCGACATTCGTGCCATCAGAATGCTTATTTAGTCAACCGGTTTAATAGATACGGAGCTACGGAACAGGCTTGCGCCGAGCTTATTGTAGCAGTTAGTTTTTATTAAAGAAAACAAGTAATCAAAAACATTTCTTAATGAAATTATATTTTAGTAAAAGTGTATTTTGTAAATCTTAGTAATTCAAAGCACTTGTATTCTTTTTTTTTTATCTGATGAATGAATTTTTTTTTTATCTGATTTTACAAACAGCTAAATTAATGACAAAATGTTTTCTGCTATATTCTTTTAAATTCTGGAAAAAACACGAATATCCAATGATTGAGCTGCCATCAGGGCAGGTGCAAGTAGGTGTGACATGCAGTGGCGGATTTAGTATAGGGGGCGGGCTGCCCCCCACGCCCTCCTCGAACGGTCTAACGGCGCCCCCTAAAACAATTAAAATATATATATATATATATATAAGGTTAAATTACTGAAGGCAACCCCGGTTGCCCCTATTTTTTGACTTAACCCCCCCGCGACACTAAACCTCAATCCGCCACTGGTGACATGGTGGGTGTCATTAAAATTTTTGTTGAGTAAAAAATTAGGTCCTTTTTTTTAAAAATTCGACCTACATTTGCCGACTTCTTTGAAAGGGTTATTTTTGCCGACTAAATGCACAAAAAATGCATCGAGGAAGGTGTGTGTGTGAATGATTCGTAATTTTAAATAATCTTTTCCTGTCACTGAATGTTTTAGAATTTGTAACTAAAGAGGAATAATTTCATAGCTTGCAACAGTATCATTTACTGTTATGATATCGCCTTTTTTTAAGAAATCTTGTTGTCCAACCAACTAATTATAAATTTGATTCTTTTATCTTTCCCTAACTTGACGAAAATCTTTATGAACAAAAAAATTATTAAAAGAAAGTCTACTGTTAATTTTCTAGGAGTGATTATAGAT